GATGAATCAATCTTCGATGTTTGCAATTCTCCTTGTGCTGGCATTTCTTCAATTCTTTCCAAAGCTTCTTGTTCACTTGGAAACTTTTTATCACTAGTTTCCTCTTCAACTGCAGCTAATTCGTCAGATTTAGGTTCGTTTTCCACCTTTCCCGGTTCTTTCGATAATGCATCCTCTTCATGTTTCACTAGACTTTCATCTGTTTCAAGTGGTAGTCGCTCGTTAATTGTTTGCGACTGATCCTCAAGTGCCTCTGCTTCTGACTGAGGTTCAGTTGGCATCGGTGTTTCATCACTTAGAAAATCCATCCATGCCGAATCTGATGGCTCAACGTTCGATGATAGCAATTCTGGGTGTCCTTCTGTTCGTGCTGATGTTTTTTCTTGTACACTCGGCACCTCCTCACTGTTTTCTTCCATTAGAGTTGTTGACTGACCCCTTTCATCCTCCCTGTCTTCCTTTTGTCCCTTTAATGACGCTTTTTCTTCACGCTTCATTCGATGTTGCTCCACTTGAAATGGTGGTTGCTCATCGGTTGCTGCTTGTGGTGGTTCCTTGAAGATGTTTGTTTCAGTCTCATCTGGTTTCGGTGCCTCTTCACTCAGAGAACCCACCCCTATCAAATCTGATGATTCAGCGTTCGATGAATCGAAATCCAGCGTTCCTCCTAAACTTTCGGGCAAAATTTGCTTGTTTTTTTCGCCTTCTGTTTGTTTGGTGAACGTCGTTGACTCATCAGGTTCATTCTTTCTGAGCTCATCGATAACTTGTTCTTTAATTTTTTCTTCTTCCACTGGTAATGCTTCTTCATCTTGTTTCACATGACCTTCATCCGCCGCAACTGGTTGCTCTTCATGCGAAGTTCGTACTAATTTTATATTTTCACTCAGCATTGAGTCAAAAACTTCTGGTGAATTTTCACCAATTTTTGATGTTTCCTCGATGAGATGACGATCGTCAGTTCTAGGGATGAATTCAGATGACTGCTGATCACTGGACGGTTCAACAGCACTTTGAACAGGAGGATGTTGAAATTCAGCAGCAATCGCTTCATTCGGATGCTGTTCTCGTAATTCAGATTCCAACTCATTAATAGTCATTTCTTCGCTCTTATCATCGCGTTTGATTTGCTCGGTTGCTTTTACAAACGTTTCTTGTTCGTCAACGTCATACGATGGTTGTTGCTCCGCAGCAGGTTCAACAACCCCAACGAGACGCTCTTCAACTGCTCCCGAAAAGTCACTGGATGGCAATATGGGCTTGACTGAGTTCGGAATCTCCTCTTCTTGTTGTTGTTCTTCTCCCTGAACACATCATTTACCACCCTACGCTTTTTTGTCAAAATATCTTTCATTAATTTCTCATTCCAGAGATCATTCATTCATGTATATGGAGACGTAATTAGCATTTGAATGCAAGTTATTCTGACGTGCATCATAATATATTGTGAGAGAAAAACGCATTAAAAGCTGAACTGAGATGATCTAAAAATGAACAATTATAATTTTTGGAAGAACAGTAATAGTTTAAGACATATTCGATCATTTTTAAACGATATTTCAAACGACTTAGAATCAGACGTTTGATTTGCTATCAGTAGTTCAACGCAACTATAAATATTACACTGAAGACTTATTTTTGGACTACCCGTATTTCAACAATGCTGTTCCAACGTTCAGGGCATGCTTGTGCATATGTGCGAGTGCAAATATGCAGGTAACTACAGATTAATATGCGTGAACGGTCATGTTCCGTGAACCTGTGAGCATTTATCGAAATGACCAAATGTAAATGTGGTGTGCATATTGTGCCACAGAGAATCATTGGTTGAAACAAAAAAAAACATGCTAACTTAATGAGAAAATAATACAAAAATAACGCCTATTATAGGGTCATCAGTCAGCTACCTCAGTCGCAGTTGTGTTAGACTTCTCGTCATGCATTGCATCTGATTCTGAACTGCGACTCTTTTTCTTATGATGACGACTGATCACTTCTGTAAATTCACCACCTTCAATTTGTTCTGCGTCATTCAACTCAACCGAATCACCCTGAAAGTCACATCGTATCACGTACACCAACTACAATCATTGATAAAAATGATCTTACGAACCCATAAATTGTTTCTAAACGTTAAAAAATGTCGGAAATTGCCGAAAATGGAACGAAACAAGGACAAAATGCCTATGCTCGACACTCGATGAATATAACTAACTTCGACGTATTGAACCTCATCCGGTGATGGCAAATGATGCTCACTTTCAGACTTTCGATTTCGTTTCTTCTTATGTTTTTTCGGCAATTCATTACCGACATCTGGTTGCACTTCATGTGTAACTGCATCAGTTCCAGGAACTGGCTGAATCAAAAAAATATATGTAATTATAGGGTTATCAATGACAATAATAACGAAAATGAAAAAAATAGATGGAAATGCGTCATGAGCTTTCTTTCTGCTTTTCATTTTAATATTGACGAAGATTTTTCAGTCTTCATACATAAACGAACAAATAAGCAAACAAACTCACAAGTTTACCACTAGTTCACCAGAAATATAAAGTAATGAAAAATGTTGAAGAAACAATCTTCACGAACGAAGAATAAGCAAATTATTCACTGATTCACCTCGATCACTGTCTCATCTGACGGTTGTTGCAGCTGTTTGTGCGTCTCAGGCGCATGATGTTTTTCAGATTCTGAATGACGCCCACCACTAACTTTATGCTTGCGATGATGCTTTTTGTCTGCTTTCATTTCAGAATCACGATCATGCTCTAATTCATCGTCGTCGTGCTTCGCTGGTGTTACCAACGGCTTATCGACATCCTCTTTCACCACATCCGTTTCATTCAGTAAATCATCATGCTAAAAGTAATGAAGTAGAATTGAGTGATAACTCTTTTCATGTGTTCTTGCAGTTTCCGTGTGCTTCAGACGGATGATGTTTTTCAGATTCTGAATGACGCCCACCACTAACTTTATGCTTGCGATGATGCTTTTTGTCTGCTTTCACTTCGGAATCACGATCATGCTTCAATTCATCGTCGTCGTGCTTCGCTGGTGCAACCAACGACTTATTGACATCCTCTTTTACCACATCCATTTCATTCAGTAAATCATCATGCTAAAAGTAATGACGTACTGTTGAGTGACAACTCTTTTCGTTTCATCAAATCATACTATCTCTTAACATCTGTCCGGATGCCTTGAAAAATGTTGACTCCTTCTATGAAAAAGATTCCAATTTCGCTGACTGGAAAAGTGCCGATTGGAGCATGTGAAACAGTGCTGATGAGGTGACTAGAAGAATGCTGACAAAAAATTGCTAAATTGATTTTACCTTAATTTTTTGGAATGTTTCCGCTCCAGTTGCAGCAAATGCACCATGCGATTGCTGTATCGCATCGTTAGCGTTTTCACTGGGACGATTATGGATTTTTTTAATCTCATCCTCTTTTGGTACGTCTTTCTAAACCATTACTTACTCGTTGAGAATTGATGAGAAGAAACATATACGTACATCTCCAATTTTGCGTGATAATTTTTTATTGAAAAAAAATGAAACAAAAAATTGCAGTTCCCAGCTCACCAAAACATGCCTTTTGGTCTGAAATTTCATGTGTGTTTTCATCTCAAAGGGCTTACTCAAAAATGCGATTATGTGTACTGTGCAAACGAGGTGCTAGCACAAAAGAGCTCTTATGGAGGCAATTTATATTCACCGGGATGAAATATTACACTCAAGAAACAGATTTGTAAAGGTTTCAAATTCCGGACAGCTGAGCAATTAATTGTTCCAAAGCCGTCACAAATGACATATCTATCATTGCAATATACGCAGATCAATTGAAGTAAGAGTTCAGGAAAGAAAGCAATCGTCAAAATTCATCAGCGAGAAAACGAACCTTTGACTGACGTTCCTCTTCACGTAGCTCCTCTTTACCTCGTTTTTTGCCCTTCTCTTTGTCAGTTTCTTTTGCGATCGTTCCAGAGTCTGCTGAAATTATCGGTGGCGATGGCCCTTTTTGTTTCTTGCCTTTTGATTCCACTCTTTCGCCGCCATCCACCAATTTTGTTGACTCTTTTTTCTTTTTGTCATCTTTTGGTTTCTCTTTTTGAGTCACCGGTTTACTGTCCTTTTGTGATTCTTTAGATGGTTGTTGCTGTTGTTGCTGTTTACCTTTTTCATCCTTTGAAAAATAAATCAATGAAAATCAACCCAAATTATTCATTTTAAACACATGCACCATCACCAACTACAAAGCGATTTCTAGCAAGTGAAATCACCAAAGCATCACTTGTCTATACTGTGCAAATCAACACAGAAGGGCACAAATCTAAGAGAAACCCGTCAAGAAACATTATATTTCATACATGAAAATAGATTAAACCAGAGACAAATTGAGAACGACTACCTCAGTTTTAAGCTTTTCTTTTGGTGGCTGCTGCTGCTGTTGTTGTTGTTGCTTTTGTTGTTTCTCGTACTTTTTTGGCTCCAAAATAACGCTAGCAACTACTGGTTTCTTCTCTTTCTCAAAAGTTATTTTTATTCCTGACATACAAAATAATACACCAGAAATAGTGTTTGCACGGCATCCTAGGATCTTGACTTTTGAATCCCGATTTAAGGATTCATGAAAAATGTCATATTACATGATTTCGGCAATTTACTTATCTTTAATTACACAGCAATCACTCTCAGTTCATCCATATTCCGTAATATCTGCATTTTACTATTCAAGTGTCAATGAATGGATACACCATTACATAGTAGTTTCACCTCGGTTTTTTTTTTTTGTTTTTTGGAGAGTAGTGAATAAAAATTTCGTAATGTCATCAATTTTGTGTCATCTTTCGTCGTCACCACTGCTACACCATTTTACAATCTCCGGATTATCTCGGAATTGGAAAACCATCCTGGGATTGAATTCCGATCCCGGGATTGGAAAAATGTTCTCAATTTTGCAAACACTAGCCATAAGAAACTACACATAGCTTTCGGGTTTTTAAGCGGTGTCAACATTCTAATCATCACCATCACATTAGCCTTCGTATCACTGATATTTTCAGGACTACAATCACCATGTGCAATATTGCGTCTGATCAATAACCGATCAGTCAGTTAGCTACCTTGATCTTCTTTGGTTTTGGTAGTGCAGACGTTGAAGCCTTTTGTTTGGCCAACTCTTTTTCGTGTCGACGTTGCTCTCTTACTCTTTGACGCTCTGCCACTTCCTCAGCAGTACGCTACAAAACAAAAAATAAATTCGCTTCATGAATTCATCCATCAGTCGATGTGAACTGATATATAACGCAACTTATTTCATTCCGCTGCTGCAGTAAAACACTTGTTTGGCAAAGTGCAAAGCAATGTGATGTTTGCCAGATAGTTAGTGGTGGTAAGTTCGGTCGGTTCAATTCGACGAATTTCGGTCGGAATTCCGAAATAGGGATTCTGACGGAAGAATTTCGAACTTCGGTCGGATAACCGAATTTCAGAATACTGAAAAGTCGTCGATTCGGTCGGATTCCGACCGAACTGAAATTTGGTTCGGATGTCAACACTATCAATGAGTACCACTTACTTGCTTCGGTTCTTTCAATTTACGAGGTGCTTCTTGTGGTGCGTTAAGACTGAAATGAACAGAAACAAATCAGCTGAAATATGCGAAAGTCACTATGCAACGATGAAAAAAAAAAACAACAAAACAAGAGGAAGGAGTAGATTCAAACTCAAAATAGACAACTAACTCTTACATTGGCTGACGCTGGCCAGTATAAACGGTATTTGTTTGCCTGTAAAAATGCTCAATGAACAAGGCAAATAATAAGAAACAAATTCCAAACTCACTAAAAGATAGAAAACACAACATATTGCAATAACAACTCAAACGAACCAACCAATTTTGTTTTGCTTGCATTCGACGACGATATGCTTGACGTTTGCATGCGGCTGCATTTTTCATCGAACGTACACGATGCGTTCTCTTCACTTGTTTCACCGAACGCATTTTGCTGTTGTTCTTTGGATTACGGTTCCTTTGGAAGAAGTTTAAGCAATCTGCACAATTCTCTCAACAACTACTCACTTGAAAGTATTAGTGATTTTGAATTGCAGATGATGTTGTTGATGAATTGGATTAAATAATATTTCCTACTGCGATAGAGAATAACTGATTAATTGAATAGATGAATGCGAATGGTATACTCAGACGATCAAAATATGATAAAGCAACACAATTGCAGATGATAGAAGCAGTTTAAGATAGAAATATTATAATTATTATCAGTATTATCGTCGCTTGATGTGATAACAAACGATTTGATCTATTTGTGAATTGTCAATTATTGGGCAACAATAATCAACAAATAATAACAGTGCTAGTCACCTCACCTTAAATCACTTCACCACACTTCACTCCAAATTCAAAAACGTTCGTTTTTAGCAATAGCGCTTATCTGAAAAGGACAGAACATTGATTATTCATCTATTGTGACATGTGGCCGAAGACACACTTTACATGTGTCATTCGATAATCGTCAAATACGTATACTTATACTGTAAGCCAAGCTACAACAGCAGTCCATATTTCAAACGCGCTATCAGACATCTGAAAGTACAAATAGAGACGTGCAAAAATGAGGTGATGGGAGGCGAGCACCGGAAGATAAGTATTTGCTTTGCTCCTTTTTTGTGTTGATTGCTTGCTCACAAAGTGAACAATTACTGAATGAACAAACATTTTAAAACATCATTTGCATGCACGACTATTCATTTATTCATCAATTAATTCATCCATCCGCTATAAAATAAACACAACAAAGCTGTAATCACGGCGCATAATCAACGAAAACTGTTCAACAAACGATTATTGAATATCGTTCCGTGAAAAACGAAAGAAATTAGTGAAAAGTTAACTTCTCTTCAAGCATAATCGAGCGATTCGATTCATCCAGCCAGCCAATCCATCATTCAAGTGAATAATCATTATCATTTTGTGAGTGTTCATTATGAATGCTTACAAATCAGTGCAAATATCTAACTATCTCTTTTATACTGTCCTATGTGGCATCTCACATCCTTCTCAAACTGAAATTCTTCACAAAGCTGATCGATCAAATAATCATACAGTCAATCAATTGCAACATATTCATTTCATCATCAAAATTCCATTATTTAACATAATACCAAATGAAGTAAAAATAAAACCAGATTTTTAAATTAGCCTATTTGTAGATAAATAATATGAGAACCTTTCCCGAACGGAACACTACAGATGAACTAATGAGCCACAATTTCAGCACATTACACACACGCACACACATCATACACGTGTTAATTAATATTCAACAACAACAACTGCTATTCATTGTCTCATCTAATATTCTATGCAGAATCCTGACTCAGTACGCATTCATGAATGAGTTATACACCATAGTACTGTCATTACTACTACTACTCTCACTTGTATTATGATTCAATATTTCTACTAGCAATCACTGTCAGTGTTACTATTTACAAGAATATTACCATTACTATTATACAAAAATCATGATAACTATAAAGGTTGCTAGCATAACGATCATTGTATACATATGTATAACAATAAATTGAGTCGCTGAAGTCGGTGACAACGGACTGCTTTAGAGCGGACAACGGACAAAGTAAATTGCTTTCTTTATCGATACAACTCAACTCAGCATGCAAAATAAAACCATAATTTGGCCATTTCAATTCGATAATAACCAGCATACTGTTGTTTGTTTTAAATGAACTGCACACACAAATGAGTACCTTAATGATCAAGCGAAAGGCGATTAACTTCTCTCGTCATTCCTCTTTCAACATATGTAAATTTAGCACGTTCAGATAGAAATTGTCTCATGCTACGAGAAAGAATATTACCAGAAGACCAGAAATTTCTTTTATACACACTAAATCATACTTACGCGTGAATTTTTACTCAAGTATCAGGTTCTACACTGGGTACTTGTTAAAGAATAATCGTAAAAAATAATACTGATAACGACACCAACGAAAATGTTGATAATGATAAGAACATATAAATTTTTAGTTGGTCGTCTCGTAATTTCACTCTTCATTTGAATCATCAATCTTTCAGCAGGCAAAACGAATAATATCACAATTAATGAATAATGCGAGCACCACGATCAATTTGAGATGTTATAAAAACGAGTTACTAGCATAAAACTAACAACAATACAACCGATGCAATCAGTCACAATCATCTATGACCATCAAATTGACCATTCAACTAATCATTAACTTATTAATTACACATCTCTTATATCATCACTGACGACTACCCCAAACTCAAGCATCAAATCTACGATTATTGAATTTAAACACTGTTCATCTTGCAAGGGTGTTAGATATCGTGACAAAACCTGACAAGCTCTACCCCGTCAACGATGATAATCAATTCGATAAGACTGACTCTCATGTGCACTTACTCGAATCTTTATGCTTCCACATATCACGTACACTAATGACATCACTTGAAAAGAAGCAAAATAAAATTAGAGAGACGAAAACAAAAAGAAGAGAAAGAATTTTAAGTGAGGCGATCAACAAATTAAGTTCAACATTCCTAAAGCTATTAATCATCTTATGAGTTCAACCTAAACATAAACAAACGTCTAAAGTGCATCAAATTTCTAAAAACAACTTTGCAACATAATCATCACTACCATCATTTCCTTTTCCGCTTATCATATATACGTACACATAAACTCTCATTCGATGACTACCATCCACTGTCACACTTCATTTTTATCAAAAAACGTCTTCATTCGTCACATCGATCAATTATCATTATCTCTACCATTAGAAATCAGATGAAAACTCTGTCTGGTAATTACGAAATGCATATATTATCATCAGCAACAGTATCGTTTGAAAAGGAGTTGAAAATTTGATTTTAAACCTATCATCACATCGATCTGATCAAAATTTGTGATAGAAGTGACTGACCGGATCAGTATAGTGTTTTTAAAAAAAATGGCATTCCCAAATCACTTCTTTAAAAACTTGGTCCAAGCACAGTAATACCATGTCTTCTGACTACCATCATCATCGGTCATCGTCATTAAATGAACATTTCGTTGCTTGCATCTCAAAAAAAAGAAGTTTCAGCTAAATGTGAGTCATACCCCGACCACAGAATGTGACTGAAGAAAAGCGTGTTAAAGACTTGCAAAACAAAGTAATTATAATGATGGTGCAATGCTTTCATTGATGGAACTGAAACAAATCAGACTGAACAATTGAGCTGATAAATAACAACGAAGAAGCAGTGAATAGATACATGCTGATAATAATGTAAAAATAATGATGACAGTGCAAAAATTGGAAGGTGGATGCATATGTATAAACATTATTTTTTAAAATTAAAATAACCCAATCAATGGATGCTTGGATGGATAGATGCACGAGTGGATGGTATATTGAAGATTGGTTGGCTACGGTTTCCCCACCCCTCCCCCCTTCCCCCCGCCCAGAAAAATATCACAGCAACAGGAATAAGAATACGATAAGAATTGGCGAAAATTTTGTGAATGAATATAACGAATATGCATTAATATGAAATATTTAAAAAAAAAAGAAGAGATACGACGAAAATTTTTTTGATACGATCATGTAAAAACCACTTAGAGACGAATTAAAATGGTACAAAATGTGAATGGCCGTATAATATAACATAAATAAACGTTGCATATGTATGAGCGTCAAAGTAACGAATTTTTCGAATATCTAAATTCTGAGAAAGTTGTTCCATCTGAGAAGAATACGCCATTTGATCAAGGAACGATCCATGGAAAATTCTGCTATAAAAAATTGGCTTGAAAGTTAGCTGAGTTGAGTCAACTTGTTAGTGCGCGATTTTCACATTTCTGAATTTCCAAGAGCCCATTCCAGAAAAGGATACGCTGAAAAATCGTTAGATCAGATTATTGTTTTGCTTAAGGTGTCTAAGATACAATATAGATGGCGCAAACTTTCAACCTCACTTTTTTCGAAGAAATTTATGGAGGTTGTTTTCAATCAAAAGTACACCATTTTGGAGGATGAGACCAAGAAAATTCGGAGTCGAAATTCGTGCAGTATTGCAATTAAGACGAAAGAAAATTTGTTTCATTTTTAGCCTTGCAAAATCTGTTCCCCTCATGAATACGTACGTGTGTTTATATATGTATTTGACTAATAATTTTGAGGATAACATTGAAAATAGCGTTCAAATAAAGAATTCTACACTGCCACAATAATAACAACAATAATGCAATAACCAACATACCACTTCCTAAATCAACATACATCTCACATGACAAATATACACGTAAATATTCTCAAAAATGTACTTTCACTCATTTATCTATTCCAAAACATCATTCATTTCGTACAAAATATTTATGTATATTCTAACAGAAATAATATCAACGTTGTAATAAGAAACTGAATGAAAAATTCTGTGTATGTAACCAACAAATATAAGCTTTACATACACAATAATCGCACGTATAAATGAATGCAATGAACACTGTCATCGTTATCTTGTTCATTCATTCTGAAGACGACACAACACATCACAACATAGCACATCTTAAGCAATCAACAAACAACCTTACGATAACATTATAAAATCAAACATCTAATCACACTTTCCATCATTAATGTGTTTTGATTCTTTGTGCATGATTAATCATTACTTTTTATTGATCGTCATCGTCTTCTATGCAACAAACAAATCAAAACATTCTATCGTACTTAGCCAGAAAACACGTGAGTATGAATTGAACAATCATTTCGAATCAAAAATTTGTGACGCGAACATCAAGCAGATAAATATGCATACATAATAGTCGATACCTTTTAAAATTATAGGAACATATAATATAACATAACATATGTATACAGGCGCATAAATAGAAATAAATGTGACTATAGACAGACATATCACATGAAATAAAAAAACATACAGCTGAGCAAATGTGCTCAGCATGGGTGCTTGAATGAGTCAATAACATGTTAACCAAGCTCCCTCCCTCCCACCCATATTATCCAGCCAGCCAGCTAGCGCATCCATCAATCCATCCATTACATTTGCGCAATACCCATCAACCACTCCTGCTATTGCTATCACCAAAAGCAATAACAATAACAATGACAAAAGCAAAAACAAAAACAACGACCACATTGAGGTATATAATAAAACTAAACTATATTCTTTCATCAAAAAAATATTACGAACTTATATGTTACAATACTCTGTTGAATACTGATTTATTAGAGTTATTTCCATCATATTTTCATCCAAATACAAACAAGCAACGCTTTGCATGAAATAATTTCAGCAAAATTCATCAATATATTGATTCCTTTCTGAAAACGTCTACTACCCATCCATCCATGCATATCAATTCATTTCACTAGACGCATAAATGTACAGAGAAGATATGGAAAGATTTTTCTACGAATTTTAACAAAAACGAGTTTTCTGTTCACTAAAGTACGCACACGCATATATATATATAATCGAACATGCATCTATAAAATGCTTCATAATTTTAACGAAGATCTGCGCTGTTGTCTGTCAAATTGTCTTGCTTGCTTCAGTGCCTACTTGTCGGTTGTTGTTGGCTTGAAAATATTATTTCTCAGCAACACAGAAACACCACAACTGACTTATTCAATGGAACAAAACAAAACTATAGCATCTCACAAAATAAGGATAATTATGTTGTCATCAACAACACACGCCACAATAACAAAGCAACAAATAACACCTCACCTTCTAATTATTGACGATTCTTATTAAAATGCATAAAATACATGTGTATCACCACCAAATAATACAGAAACAACCAACTCCATGTACTCACATTCAAACGAGCTAAAGCCTTATTCTAACAACTGAATAAGAGCAAAACATCACTGCAACACACCTAACATATCACATATGAGATGCATACGAATTGTAAGAGGTAAACGTTAAGCTTAACAAAAGCCAGTTAAAAGCTGAACCAACAGCTCACTGCTGCTATATCTAAACGCAATACCTACTGCTAGAGCACCAACATGAGTCCCAGCGCTAGCAAGTATAGCGTGAACGAATGAATAGATGGATGGATGGATGGATAGATGGACGGATGGATGGACGGATAGGTGAAAGAACAAATGAAACTATATAACCCACTACCAAGCAACCAGCTTTATCAGTCATTCTTTTTCTATCCGAAACGAAACAAACAGCTAACAACTAAACGAAACTATGATATTAAACTAAATTGATATCAACAAGCTGGCTACTGCTACTACTGTTCTTTCTTGTCCCAGTGTTGCCTGCTAGTATTGTACTTTTACTCGGCACTTCGTTGCTTTCTATAAAAATATCAAAAATGTACTTCAAAACTCATACACACACACGATACTATTATAAAACTCATTCGTATATTATACTTAAATGAATATTCCATAACTACGAACCAACCACCTAAATAGAATAGCTTCATTTTCTCAGCATTTCTATGCACCGTTTCACACAATTCAATTGACTCAATTTTATTTATCGTTTAATTATTTACTTCTTCATCCATCCGTTTCATTACATATTTGTGTTGTCTGTACATCCGTCCATCTATCTGTTGCTATTGTTATTTGTTTGTTCTATAACACTTCTTTTTTTTTTTCAGTTAGGTCGTTCAAGTTCATTATTTCATTTGCAGTTGTCTTTATTAAACTTATCCAACTGCTCTCGCACACCAACAGTCATTTATTCCATCAATGATGTAATGATGCTGCCAACTCTTTCTTACACTCTTACATTCATCAATTACCGTCTATCATCAACCAATCAATGAAAGGATTAATTAATTGCCAAACCAACTCCAAGCATCATCTAACAAATAAATCATTCTCTTTATTATTTGTTTAAAAATCTTTCAGAATTTCTATATCCTACTTGCTTTTTTAACACCAACATAATCAATGTATATAAGTATTGAAGTGATCGTATGATTACTTCAATACTTAAGCAAGTTCGTAAATAAAAATTTCGTTTCAAGCACTCAAGCAATACCAGTACTAAAACTACAATGCAATAAGTGTTCTGAACTTCTTGAACAGTCTCAACAAGTGAATCGTGCAAAGTTGCACAAGTTCAAAATCACTTTGGGTTTGTCTTAGCTCTGAATTGATTATCGTAACATTACATTACCACAAAAATCATAAATTTGTTGCAACAATAAAATATACACACTTACATTACTTCACTCGAGTGTTCGTTCGGATACTGCGGATGCCGTCACTACTTTACAGTCATATATTATACTTTCAAACTGAGGACTGATTCTCTTGGGTTTGGTATGGTGGTGATCATAGAAAGATTGCTGCTTTGAAATGTGCTTGATCTTTTCTTAAGTGCTTGAGTGCGAGTCTAATCGATTCGAACTGACACGTTGAAGATTCAGGTTGGAGTATACTCAAATGTGCCGAGTTATTTCGACGTTAATGTATTCTTTTGTGGGCCCAAAAACATGCACACTAAGTATAAATAAGAACTTATCTAGTCAATAGTGAATGGTGAGAAGCGGTCTAACGAGACGAGACCGAGATGGGATGCTGAATTTCTTGTTCATTAAACGAGACGAGCATCGTTCAGAGAGTGGTGACGAGACGAGAAGCGATTAAACGGAGTTTAAACGAGATTAAAGATGCATTTTTTGGATGTCTCGCAGTAATGCTCCTTTATAAATTCACCCTCAAGCCGGGTTTTTCATTTCATTGCTGATGCACAATTTATTTTCTGAATAAATTTCTCATTTCATCTCTCTCTCTCAGTTGCGAAGTTGTCCGTTTTGCTGTTGATATATGCATAAATGTTCTCATTTAATTTTTCATGCCATATCTTTCTTCTCCAACCATTTCGAACCGTCTTCTGAGATCACGTCGGTCCTTTAAAAACTTAACTTCGAACTTCAGTTATTCACTGAAAATATAAAAAACTTCATTCCAGTGGACAGTATTATCTACAGCTAGTGTTATTTCATCATTTTGTAATAAAGACGAGAGGAAAAACCATTACGCGTTTAATAAACGAGACGAGAAACGATCACAGTGATCTCAGGTGATCAAGGGAAACGATCATTCGCCTGTACATATTGAGCACTTAATTTACATATATGACTGATAGTTTTAACGAAAATAAATCGAAAAAATCAGACTATCGTTCTGCAAGCTTTCATCGTCGACCACACACACAGTCATTCTCAATGTGAACTGAACAACGAAAGCTGAAAACTGTATGCTTCAGCATAGTAGTTCTCAATCTTTTTTCTTCTTTGCATCCCCTAAAATGTCTTCACAACAACACTTGAGATGTCCTCGCACTCCTCTATATCTCTCAGTGAGTGCCTGCTCTAGTGCAGACAAGTGCATACCATTAGAGCACGTTCTAGCCTTGCCAAAAATACATACTTTTTCAAGTCCACTTTACACACATGTATGCGTTGAACTCCATTCTCGCCTACTTTAGTGTATAAAAAATAAAACCTTATCTCGCAGCCTCTCTTATCACACCCACTGTCGCACCACCCGGCATGCCATCTTGCACCCCCGGTTGTGAAACTCTGTGTTAGCATTTGTGTGAAATTACCAGCTGTTCATTAATGGACGTTTTAAACATATTCAGTCACCACCTCACACGCGACAAGAAATATAAATTCTAAACACTCAATTTACATAAATATATGAAACCATTGAAAACACCTGAATAACTATCATATCGATGAGCAATATATGGATATATCAGTGATAATAATCGCCTCATGCAGTTCACACTCATAGTTGAAGCTTTCTCTGCAGCAGCAGCAGCTCAAGGCACAACTGGGTACCATTCCAGTCACTGCTGTTGTTGTATGAAAAAAATCCTGGTACCTGTGCTTCCCTGCAAAAGATTAATAATCCACTGTGGTACTGATAGCACAGTCAGAAAACGTACAGGCAGTACAAAAAATAATACCGCCCGCTTTTTGGTAGAACGAAATAAATGATCACTTGTTATAACACACCCGATAGCTATGATGTTGTCTGTAGGAGAGTCCGAAGTGTTGAAGTGTCACACCTTGAAAGTGGCAAGGAGTTAAGCACACGGTGATACACCACGGCATCAACTAAACCATTACCGTTAACTAAATGGTTTATGTCAGCCAGAGGGTTGGTTGCATTAGTACTAGTCAACAACCAGTGAAGATTCAATTCCGCTTGCGGGTTACCCTACTACCATTCAGTCGGATTACCTTTCAATCCGTTGCGGATTACCTTTTTGAATGACAATATTAACCAAAACATTCAACGATCAGTACGTAAAATAATAATAAACGATATCCGAAAATTATACCATTCAGTCAACCGATACATTCAAATGCTTTTATGTTGCTACAGCATAGAAAAGAGACTCACATCAAGACAACTGCGACCCGCATGTACTTTCTCAAGAAATTCGTTCAGTTCGGCGGTTATTTGACAATGTATATTTTTATGCTGTATAATTTGAATTTGTAATTTTTGCTGATCAATTCTGGATTTTCGGGTGTCAAATGATTTTTTAAAACTATTCTAAAATGCATCATTGGATGAGACTCTAAGCTAATATCATCATGCGTCTTATAGGAATCTATATCGAAAAATGATACTGCGTAATGTTAGTGGAATCATCTTTGATGTGGCCATGAAAAGCATACCGAAAAACATGCAGTATCATTCAACAAATAGCGTCTTAAATCGTACACTCACGTCGCACCTTTGCGGTAAGCGAGTATCTTTCAAGAGAGTATAAATCGACCAGTATTGCAGTGAAATCATAACTCTTACGGTTTTACTCAAGTGAAAAGTATTTTTTATGGGTATAGCACAAAAAGGCGATATGAATCAATGTTCTGTTCAGATACGACTGTTGTATACCACGACACTAGCATGGCAGCGATGTCCTCAAACAGCACGACTGACACTGAATCATCCTCCCCATCTCCACCTTCTCGACCACCCCCTCCTCCACCACCACCTCCACCTGAACCGGAATTCTCATGTGTTTCCACCCGTTCCGTCCAGCCCAGACGTGCCTTTACCGGATCGCACGTTCCTGAACCACCCGATCCGTTGACATGTTGTGGCTCCGGGTGTCCAGATTGTGTTTGGATTCAATACGGCGTACAACTAATGAATTATTATAGTGAAAAACCTATTGAAGAAGCGCTGCGTATGATTGACGATCAAATACCGGACATTTGTATGCGTGAATTTGTGAAGACTGAACTTCGAGCAAAAAAGAAAAATCGTTAAAGTTAAACAATAATCAATCTGAATAGCAGGTGGTGGTGTATATCATATTGCTGTAACAATAGACAATAAAGTCATTCATTCGCAGCGCGTTAAACACGCATAAATATTCTATATTTGTGTGATTTACCAAATATCTTTTTTATAATGCATCTTCAATTGATAGTGATGTATTTCATCGATTATGTACGTTTCGATTCCGGTTCAATCCTCTTACTCAGTCTTTCACCATAGCATATTTCATTAGTTTAAGAATATGTTAAACATGATAACTTATCTCCAAGGTCAGCCTCTGTCAAACGAAATAAACACTTTCAAATATAGCTCGTTTTTATTTGCGTTCCTTTCACAAATACCTCACATATTGATAGGATGATTGTGAAAATTTTTAACTTTTCTAAACTGATTGTTTTCTGGTGTGATGTCATCTGTATAAAGTTAATGATTTAATTAATTGATCAGTTCTTCATTTTGTTGTATTTGAATTATATAATTGCACGTCTTTCTTACCACATACTGCGTAGTGTCGGATTGTGCGAATGTGCGCTGCTGGTGCTCAAACAATAGGCTCGGATAGACAAACTGATGTAAAAATTTTTGCTCTACAAAGTTTTGAACTTCTTTGTTGTGTCGATGCGATGAACCACTTGTTTAAAAACAACACAAACCTTTGAATCCTAATCTCGTAACCTTTCCATCCTAACTAGTTTTACGATCGAAACTAAGTCGACTATATTTGCGAAGATAGAATCACGCGAACTGAATGAACCACGATATGTATAGAAAACGATTTATAAATATAAAGCAGATTATTCATCAACATTATCATCAACACTTTCTTGAATGCTTGCTCTGATGACGGTGATATTTTCACGGAGCGTATTTTCAGTTATTATTTCTTTGCATCATAATCAAGAAACATCATTGTTGCAAGAAGCCAACGAAACAGTTCATTACAAACAGAAAACTGAATGAGAAAAATTATAAGATTAAAAGGAACTAACTACGCACTAAAGTGATTTTGAAGAACTTTGTTATAAATCTTGTTTTCATGAACTGATTACGCGTAAACAATGGTTATACTGAACTGAACAAAACAGCAATTGAACATGACAGTAATGACAACAATGAAAATAATAATAAAAATAACTTAATAATCCATTCCAGTTTAAAAACGACCAGTCAGTCAATCGATCACCTATTTACACTGTGAATGATACGAATATTAATCATAATAGCAATAATATAATAATAATAACAATAATAATGGTAATATAAATAATGATACTAATCACGTATGTATATCAAACAACAAAGTTACAAATAAATTAAAGCAATGCTTGGTTTTGAGGGTTAATTCATGAAGAAAGATTTTAAAAATTGAACTTTTGGCTGGCGCCGAAAACTTGAAACATACATACATGAGAATGGAAGAGAACTGCTTGACAAATGTGAAGAGAGTATTTAAAGTTCAAACTTAAATAATCACAATTTTGGAACAAATAAATAGCGTTAATTCTCACTTACAACTCAAAAAATTCGTACAATAATTTTCATGCTGTCAGTGTTTCAATGCGACAAAACGATAAAAAATTCAACGGCACGGCACCATTCCCTTCCCTCAAACACGATACGACTAATAATACGAATCAAATTAAAGCAGCACAACAAAGTATTGATGTCTACAACCGTAATGATATTCTATGGAAACGAAGAAAATAAACAACAAAGCTTCAGTGATCATATGAAAAGAGGCACATTCGAAACAAAACAAAAAACCATAAAGCAACAGCAATTCAAAATCGAGTTTGATTTTAAATTAAAAAGAAAAATTCAAAATGGCAATCAACTCAAAATTGCATTACAAATAAATACGGATTCGACAATGAAAACTAACCAACTAACCAACCAACAATCAACCAAGTAAACACATAAACGAATGAATAAAATTTTGACCAGACTACTTGTAATGAGTGTTATTTGTAGGCATAATAATATATGCAAAGCTGAACTTCGAACAACAACCATTTTCAAAATAAAACATTCACAAAATTACGTTTACAGACAACAACAAAAAACAACTGGAAAATAATATGAAAGGAAGACTCCCTCCCAACGATAAAGCACTTCAACATTCATATAAAGCACAGAAGAAATTAAGAGCCAAAACAAGAAACATTAAAAAACAAAACAGGAATCAATTAATTAATTGCACGCCACTTTCTAAAGCAAACAACGTTTGATGAGAACAACAATATTAAATATAATACTAAAAAATAACAACACACAATGAAACGAACAATCGAATTATTGATTCACATTGCAATAAACCATAATGTGCAATAATAATAATTACAATCACAACTGTAATGATACCAACTTCAAAACACTGACTACTCATTACCCTATCAACACCCCAAATTATTTTCCCCATCATCCATCTCATCTTCAACTTCTTTAGTTTTGCTCTTCTTTACAGAACTCATTCACTTCACCATACGCACCTCAGTAATAACTGCTGAAATCGATAACTGCGAAATCACGTTCAATGAAATCCCATTAGTGAATACTATCATTACAGTGAATCATCTCAAAATGATTGTTGTTGTAACGACGATTACTCGAATATGTCAGTTGTATAACATTATTCATACATATATTAATTGATTATACAATGAACCAAATATGCATACGGACCAGCCGTTTTCATCCATTCATTTCAAGTGTGTATACAAGTTGCTCATCTCCTTCAACCATTCGAATACGTGCCGTCCTCTGATTCAACGAATCGATCCGTCACCAAAACAAATCGATCAAATAGATGTATATAAACAACTATATGAAGATAAGTGTTTCGCATTCACATCTCGAATACAAACGTCATCAGACGATGAGGAATTGCTGGTCGCGTTCATTGTCGTTGTTGCTGTTTGGGTAGTTTCCATGGTTGACGTCGGAGACGGAGATGAACAAGAACACGCATTCAATTCATCCTTTTTCTTTTTCTTGTTCATTGAGCACGACGAGCCGCTAACTGATGTGCCACTGGCAGACGACAGTGATACACCACTGGTCATTTCCTAATTGTTTTTCATTGATCATTATCAACATCATAAGAGAATTATTCAGAAAAAAATAAATTGATTAACTTACCTTCACAGTACGATATGAGGATGATCGTTTCGGATTGCGACTTCTGCTAGTACAACAAATGAGAAGTGTACAAGCGAGTGCAACCACGGTGACAAGTGAAACGAAAACTATGAACGCGAATAAGATGACCAGCAGTAAGAAATGCTCTTGCTGTTTCGGCTGCCTGGAATCGAACTCGTCAAGACGTTTCTTCGAATTGTCTTCAGCGCTTTGATCAACAATCAGTTTTGACGTTTGTCGCGATAGCATATCATTACCAACCATCAACTCACACGAGTACAAACCACTGTCCGATGCGCGAACCTCAAATTCATTCATATTTATTGCACCGTTCATTCCACCGTTGTTTTGTTGATTACAAAAATTATATGCAACGTTTCCGTGGAAGAAGAAGAAAAAAAAAACGAATACTCAGATAAAAAATTACCTCAGTAATGACGAGAACTTGTTGATTCAACATAAAAACGAAACGTGACGGAGCAGTTCGTGGCTCAATTTGTTGTTCATTATGATACCAAACGATCGACAGCGGTGGTTTCATATGCGTCGTTGAACAGTTGAAAAGTACCGTCGACGAAGTTTGTACATTCTGTTCGTCGAAGCGTGTATCGAAGTCCACATCTCAAATAACAATTCCAGCATTACTACTACTACTACTAAATCAATTCTCAATTCGAAACGAACAGATCAACAAAACAAGATCAGTTCAATCGAATATCATTCAAAAACCCACCGAAAACGTTCAGATACGCGGAACCTTGTGCTTGTCCAGCCTCATTACTCACTAAACACGTGTATAAACCGGCATCTTTCAGCGTTACATTCACCATATACAAATTATCATCATTTGCCTTCACGTGCAATCGACGTTCGACAGCAGCCGGAAATTCATTACCACCGTCTTTTTGCCATTTTATAACTGGCAACGGTACACCTGGAACACAAAAGTAAATTACACCATTCATTCTATTAGAGCATTGCTTTTCATTTCCTCTCAAGCAATCAATCACTTTAGTAAGTATTACGCGTAAACAATTGATTATCGAAGGCACAACAATACCTCTAGCTGAACATCTTAATTTGACGTTGCCACCACGCAAAATCGACACGTTTGACGGTGACGCAACAATGTATGGCTTCTGCATAACGACAATCCTAGCACTGCAATCAATACAAAATTATCATAATGACTAAATGGAATCAAACAAAAACTGATCAATAAATGAACGAACCGTAATGAATATGCAGAACCATAATGATTTCGTACAATACACTGATATTCAGCCTCATCACTAAACGCGATCTCACTCAAACGCACTTCACTATGCAAATATTCCACTGCAAAATCACCTCGTCCTTCATCTGCTGTTCCAATACCACTTAACGACAACGACCCTGAATTCCCAAATGACTACTGTTTCAAACGTTCAACGAGAACATTAACAATGAAATGTGTCAGCGCCACTCATCAAGTGTTGCTAATGGCTTAATTTCAAAACCTTCTTCTCGCTAAAAACGAACGAGAACATAGTAACGACACCACACTGACCGTTAGTGGTGAGTGAACGATTGAAAATGAATTCAGTTGTCGCATCATTGGTCAGAATATGCGAACGACCATTTCGCATCACCTTCCAACTCATTTCCAACGGCGACGCACCATACCCGGTACACTCTAATCGTACCTCCGAACCGAGCAACGCTTTCGTCTCAACGCTCGGCTGATTGACGAGTCGAGGTCGTGGCGAATTGTCTACTAAACAAACAACAACAGAACATAGTATGCTGATAGAAAAAACAATTATAAATAATACGAACCACATGTAAGATTCGAGGTGTCTATAAGAGCCACATCAATGCCTTGTAATGGCGATGGATGTAAGCAAATTGTCGATATTGTAGTTCGACTTAAACCGGATGTAAATAACCAATTTGAAAACCACTTCAACTCACAATCACACACCAAAGAGGATGTATTCATCAATCTATAAAGAGTAACGATTATAAGCAGGCCATTACAGCGTTAACTCTAATGAAAAAGCAATGAAATGAATCGTTGAACACATACAATTGCTTCAAATGTAGTGGTTCAAAAGCTCCTTCTTGTATGGATGCAATTGGATTATCACTTAAATCCAAATATTGTAGTGACGGAAAGTTGTGAAATGCACGTAATGGAATGATACGTACACGATTCGACGCAAATTTTAGAGTGTGTAACGCTGGTAAAGAACTATTCGATAGCACTGAACCATCTTCGACACACACTGCTAAACCATTCCCGGACAGATCTCTTAAATGCGATTGTAAGTATCAATTGAATAAATAGTATAGCAGCAATATTAAGATATGCGCGAATATTATCGCTGAATGAAGTTTTTAAAATATACGCAACGAAATGAACGAATGAACAAATGCAAACAGGACGTACAGTGAAGCAAGCGTATCCAGGCCACTCATCGCACTCTTATGAAGCACATCGATATGATTGTATGCTAACGAAAGATACTGTAATCGTGATAATTTCTTGAATAGAAGTGATTGCAGAGAACGTAAACGATTCGATGCTAACGATAGCCATTCGATTGTCGAACACAACGACCACACCGACGGCTCAATCCAACTCACTGAATTCGAACTTAAATCTCTGCAATTCGGCATTCATTCATCGTACACTCCACTTCATCAACCATAATAACAATGAATAGATAAACTTACAAATAAATTAATGATAACATTCCATACAACCAACCACCAGTGATGGCTGTTAAACGATTATCAGCGATAATCAATCGCTGCAACTGTTCCACACCCCAGAATGCACCATCCTCAAGCGTTGAGATCAAATTGCGTGATATTGTTAAATTCTGTAGCGATATTAATGAATTGAATGTCAGCGCACGAATTCGTGTTAATCGATTCCGACTTATATCCCTGTAATATTCGCATGATTATTATCATCACCACTGTATTCAACGATATCATTCGTCTAAATCAGTGCTTCTCAATCTCTTGTGCTCAGTCGCGCTCAATTTGGTCAAGATTGCAGCCGAATCACATCCCTGCCCCCCTCGTTTCAATTGCAGCAATATTCATTATCCGTTTTTAAAGCAGTCGAGAGAATATCACGACAATTTCAGCAAGGCTGTTCCTTTTCACCAGAATGAAATCATGCCGACTCGCCCGCTGATCGACACTACTGCCAATGTTGAGAACAACTGATTCAAAACAAACGATTGATGACAATAATAATAATAATAATAATAATAATAATAATAATAAACTAACAGTGATCGAAGTGATATTAAACCATCGAAAGCGTTCTTTTCGACTGTATGAATCTTATTCCGAGATAAACGCAAAATTCTTAGCGTATACAACGATGAAAATGAACGTGGACGCAGTATCGACAGTGCATTATTACTCAAGTCTCTGCAAAAACAACAACAGTAATGCAGTTCATGGGAGTGATAATAAGAGTGATAAACCTAATAATAACAATAGTAATAATAACAAAAATAACAATGGTAATAAAAACAACAGCACTGAATAAATTTTAAAAAAATACTGACAGCCTTGTAATTTTTGATTCGGCATGATTGATAAACACTTCTTGAGGTAGTTCTCGAATTGAATTTCTCGCTAAGTCAACAATATCAATTCTAGCCAATCGTGATATATCAATGGATGTTAAATTTGATATATCGTTTCCTTTACTAAAATAAAGAATTCATAACTGCTACCGTGCAACTGAGATGATGTATTGTTTTTGGCACCGATCAGCAATAGCCAATCAATGATTTATTTTCCATTATCCCTAACGAACAAAAAAACTGAACAAAAATTTTGCGATTATTATTGCTTTTATTGACATCATCTAAATGAACCTTACGAAATCAATAAACAAATCGATTTTGAAAAAGAAAAAAAAAGAAACTAAAAATTCACAAAACTAACAGATCAAGTCGATGCAATGAGTTGAGTGATTCAATACCAAGTGGCACTGATGAGAGGCGATTTTTACGTAAAATTCTGCAAAAACATTCGAAAATTTTCTATTTGATGAAAGTGAAGAAAACATATCATCTCATCTACTCAACAAATTAATTATAATGATAAGGATAATTCTGAATGAAAATTAATAACGATGATATTAACAACAATATTCACAACGAAATAATAATAATGATAAACGATTTGCTGAAATATCAAAATCAAATCACTTACAACGTTTGCAAATGTGGTGTATAAGCGAAAACAAGTCGTGAAAACGACTGAATGTGATTATCGCTCAAATCTCTGCAATAAAAACCTCAGTAAATAAATATTCCAAAACAAAAAGTCACTAAAAAATTATGCAAATTATAGCAATAAATAAACGAAACATAGGAATGAATAATAATCTGTTGGCATGTAAATGAACAGACGAATGGATAGATAACTAATAAATAAGATATTGAAGAAATGGACAGCAAAAGTTCTATCAAATCACAAATAAAATACACAAAACTACAACAATAGTAATAACAATAAAGGACAACTTAAAACAATGATGTCTGTGAATGAAACAATCAAAACATACACACACACAACACACATCACAACAATATCAAAAACGAACAAAGAAGATTAATAATAATAATATTGATAACGAAAACACTAAAACAACGAAGAACATAACCATAAATAATTTTCACCGAAACAATCATCATTTATCATTTGCTTACACAATTACACAAGATGATCATTCAACTCCCTTTCATTATCACTTTAACGCACTTCTCTTTTGTTTTTTATTGCAACGCACTAACTTCACTTACTCCTTCAACTCACTTTCTTACTCTCATTTTCTCCTCTTTCCATCTTAAACACTTATTTATTTCTGTAACTTTTCAGATCCAATAACTGACTGTAAATTAGACCATTGTCTGCTTCTTTTCCTTTCTTTCAGCAATCTACCCAGACATCCATCCACCCTACCATCCAACCAGGTCATTCATATAATACCTCTCACATATCTTAAATCCTATACCCTAGTTCCCCAAGCCCCTAACGATGAAAAAGAAAAAGATCGTTTAAATAAATATTTAAAATTTTATCAACTATTAACATCGATGAATTCAAAAACGAATAAGTCATAAAGTAATACAAACTGGATGAATTCAACTTACATTGATATAAGATGATCAAGACCAATGAATGCAGTTGGTAACAGTTCAGTAATTTCGTTACCTTGCAATTCTCTGAAATATCTCTTCTTATGGCACAAAATAAATAGAAGTCACTGAATGCAAATCACTGCCTAAGAGTTCACACTTCGATTAAGTACCACTACAGTCGAGACACAACAAATCAACAAATGACCAAAGAAGTAACGAACAAAACTGTCGTCCATGATGGTAACATAACCGGTATGGAGGCGAGCGAACGTCGACTACAATCGACATGTGTATCCAAGCAGTGACAAACTGTTGGGCAACGTTCATACGTAATACGATTTGCACAAGATTCTTTCGTCAGTAATAATATTACCGATGATAACAAATATGTACGTAAGGCTAATTTAAACACGTTATTTGACAATCTCAGCATCTATATCGCCATTCCATTACACACCTCCTGAAAATTTTAAAGTATGGGGCTGTTGAGGAATCATAGGGTACACATAAAGGATATAAAAATTAAAACTTAGGCAATCAATCGAACAAATCTGATATTCCACCAATATAATTGGTGGAATTCAATCTCTGGTAAGCAACCACCATCGCAATCTGCGATAAATGCATAAATTATTTTTCTTGTCGGATCGAACCTCCTATTAAAATCACTAACCATAACCATAGACACAACTACAAGAAAAGTAATAGCAAGAGAACACACAAAACAACACGACGATAAGTCTAATTTAAACAAATTGTGTTAGCAACGTTTTATACTTGACACGCTTACAAACGCTCCAATAGAGCATTTATTTTATTTGATTATATGATGTTTTATTATAACACAAAGCTGTGTTCTTTCTTTACATATATCCATCCCTCACCTCTAACGCCCATAGCAAATGCTCGCTCGCTCGCTCGATGCTTTTTCACAAAATCCATTGTGTGCTCAACAACGGCTGCTGCTGCTGCTGCTGCATTATTCTCTGTCAGACACACAAAAACTGTTTGTTCTCGTTAACGTGAGTTTGGCGAATCGAGACAAATTGACGTGTCATGATGAACTGTTCAACCACAAACTATACTTTATGTATCACGTGAAATGAGGTTTTTGTGAGCGGTTCCACCAAAATTGCTTTCATTTTATCATAGTCTTTACAGTGCTAATAGTGTTTACTGATGCAATTTCAGATGAATCGAATGGATTATACAATTAAGCAACAAAAATTATTATTGTGTTATTATATTTTTATTATATCAAGCGTTTTTATATCAACAATCTCAAGCGCTCCTCCTAAGCGTCCACCACCCGAACAACAACCTGAAAAACCGGCACCTCAACAAGACGCTAAAAATGATAGCCAGAAACAGCAACGTGTCAGTTGTATTTCATCATTGAAATAAAATTTTTTGATCTTATAAACTGGAAAAAAAACGTGGCTGCATAAATAACATATCCTTGATTGGGCATGTTTTAAAACACAATCACTGTAATCTGTCTGCTTTTCAGCTGTACAAATAATAACTGTTTTGTGTACTTTTCAGTTGTACAAATTTGCTTATACAGAGTATCTAAAACAAGTTGTACAAGTACTCGAAAATGATACGAATTTCACGCAACGCATTAAAGGAATGGCTGAAAGCGATATAAAGGTTAGAATCTGTGTTAATACATGCAGCTTTACTTTCTCTTCTCTCTGTATTTTCATTCCTTTCTTGCCTTACAGTCACATCATTTCGCTACTCGAATAAATCGCCTGAATAAATTTGAACGGATAATTCTTCAGATTTCTCACAGACTCTTGAATTATTTTTTAGAGTGGAAAAATCGCCGATCACCTTGATGAGCTTAGTGCGCATACGTTTCGTGAGCTGCACAAATTGAAGGCAGCCGAAATTGAACGTTTGAGAAAGCTGATCGATGAGCAAGTGAAACGGGACGGTGGTTACCATAATATTAAGGCTCCTGAGCATATCGATGTGGATGATTTTATGAACTTCGGCAAAGAGGACCTGAGAAAATTAATTGTTAAGGTCGTTAATGTGACTGATGATTCATGCATGCTTCAGCTATCCTTTGCGGCTATTATCAATTAGGAGGAGAAAATTTTTCGAAAATATCTGTGTGAGTATTTGATTGCGCACAGATGCACAAAAATATCTGCGCGCAAAAAATTGTGCGCAATCAAATTCTAAGCAAAACTCAGTACACACTTCACTATCGAAGCAATTCGAGAAACGATTTTTAGATTTTTAGAAACAGTTTACAATAAACAAAAAAACTGATTATTATGAGTTCAGTGAAATGAAAACCCAACCAAAAAAAAACTATTGGTGCACTCGTCTTGCTCAGTATGATGTTGCAGACTGTTGCGGACATGGAGGAACAAGACCGACAAAGACGGGAGGAGTTCAAGAATTATGAAATGAAAAAAAAAGCTGAAATCGATCATAAAATGGTTCGTTGTTAGTTGTTTGCTGTTGTTGTTGCAAGAAAAATAAGTAACATAACTTGGTGGAATATAGCTCATTTCATTTCCCTCTCTCCCATTTCGTTTTCTGGATTTCGTCGTCAAATTATCACAGCTCCATTCATTTCGTGGCTCATTTCCACTTCAGTGAAATGATTGAACACCAAGAAACTTCGTTTAGGTAAATATGTCGCCGGAAGAAAGACAAAAGTATCAGAACGAATTAGATGCGCAGAAAAAGCGTCACAATGAGCACGAAAAAGTGAAGCATCCGGGCAGTCGTGACCAGCTGGAGCAGGTTTGGGAAGATACAGATCAGGTAACTCGATGATGCTTGTGCTGTAAAGAATAATTGACAGCTATTCGTCGTTTGATAGCAGTAATAGCAGAACAGACGAGAGAATCGAACGCATTACGTAATACATAATCATTTGAATAATTCAATTGAATGATAAAAATAATAAGAAGGAACGGGTTTGCAGTTAGAGAAAGATAATTATGATCCGCGAACGTTTTTTGCACTACACGATTTGAACGGTGATGGCTTTTGGAGCACTGATGAGTTGGATACTCTGTTCGAGTCGGAACTCCAGAAACTTTATAATGAAACCGATCCGGACGATGACCAACTAGAGAAGTTGGTATTTATTAAGTGTATGATGAAAGACATTCATATAAATGACGGTTTGTACAGCACTCATTAATACTATTAGTTTGAATGAATTTCTTTCAGAATCGAAGAAATGTATCGAATGCGTGACCATGTCTTAGAACAGATGGATAAAAACAAAGATCGAATGATTTCTATAGAAGAATTTCTTGCAGTAAGTTTAGCGGTTAATCGATTCAGCTTTAAATTTGTTAACAAATTAAGGAATAAAAGTTGTTTGAAGGATTCAGAAGCGCAAACGCCAAATAAAGACGAAGGGTGGAAGGATATTGGAGATGAAACGGTTTACACAGATGAAGAACTGAAGAAATTCGAGCAGGAATACGCGCGACAGCAAGGTTGGGGTGACTATGCATACTCAACGCTAGGCACTACACGACAACCCCTGAATGCGCATCAGCAACAACAAATGAATAATATTGAACAACCAGCCCAACGACAGCAACAGCCCCAACAACGACAGGTTAATTTCAATTGTCCTTCTTCACTTTATTCATTTTCGTAATAATTATGATTTGTCTTATTTGGTTTTATTTCAGCAACATCAACAAGTGCCAGTCGGTGGCGTTCAGCAGGTACAATTGAACGTTGGTGGTCAACAAGGAGGACATCAGCAACAGGCTGCGAACATACCAATTGGTTCAGACAATGTGGATAAAACTTATGGAGTTTAGTAGTATCACTACTAGACCGACTGCATAAGTTTTAAATCGAGGGAAGAAAATGATGGAACTTTGAAAATGTTTGTGATTCGTGATTACTCTAATGGAAAATTTTGTGTTAGTAAAAGTTTGAGTAATCAGGTGAGATTGAATGATGATTAGAAATTGTTTCTCGGATGAATTGGTTGATAAATTCGGTAGAACGATTATGAGGTATGTAGTGAGAAGTGCTGCTGATTATGACTAATACGGTAACGGCGATAATAATAATAATAATAGTAACAATGATAGTAACGTTATTGCACTTTGATAAGGTCCAAGATTTTTCATCTCATTTCGTTCAACAACATCTCATAATTGAGAGCACTGTCAGTCTTTCATTTTGAAAGCATTTTGTTATTACTATTACTGTTGTTGCTATTACTTTTTTTACTGTTTATTATTACTATTACTGTTGTTGGTGTTGATTTCATCGTCATTATTATTATTATTATTATTATTATTATTATTATTATTATTACTGTCGATGGCAGTCTTCTTATGTCGATAATAATTAAAAGGATAAGCACGTTTCAGCAAATGATTCTTTTTTTCGCATTTCTCTCTCAAAGTTTGAACTTAATGTATTTAATATCATTTTTACTTATTGTGTTTAATTTTGATTCGATTCATTCCTTTTTTGGGTTATTTTATGCGAATATTCTATTATATTTAAAATAGGATGTTTACTGAGATGTGTTTGCAGTCCATGTGATTCACTTCTATGTCGTTGATATTATTATATCATTGTTGCTTTATCATTATTACTATTATTGTGATTATTATCTTTGCTGTTATTTTAATACTTAATTATTGTTGATTGTATTGGCCAAACAAAACCGTTTTCTGAACAATTCGTGGAAAATCCTCTGACGACTATGTCTCCGAAATGATATAATTACCGTTGATGCTCACTTTCGCCATAATCGTTTCTTTTTGCTGTTACTATCGTAATCACTGTTCTTGCTGCTAATATTATTAAGACAATTCAATAATTCGTACGAATAGTAATTGACTGATATTGTGGATCCGAACGCAAAAGGATATTATCAAATGTTTAATGTTCACAATTCAGGACAAGCAATTTGGTACAATGTTTTCGCATAATTCAATAAAAGCACTACATTCCTGTGCTCTGCATCCATGCTAATAACACTTGTTATTACCACCACTGCTAATAATATTTTCAACGCACATTATTATTATACACTCTGTCAGCAAATAAATCACCATACCATTACTGCGCATCCATGGATGGCAGTATTTGAAGATAACATTTCATTCATATTGACCCGATTTCATATCCTGGAACATTTGTTATTATATTCATTCTCAACGAAATAATCTAGGAGATAGGGAAAAAGCATTCTATCTTCTTTTCATCTTATCATAAGTGAACTGATAATTATTTAGACGTTTACATGAATGTTTTAATCCATATTTAGCCCTACCCCCCTCCCCCCATCGTCACAGCATATTTAACTCATACAGTTATCAAAACTGCATTCTTTCCCCATTAATCGCAATTCGAAAAACAAGTATGTTATTTGAATTGTTCTCGACGAAAACCATTAATAAGTTTCATGTTGCCAATGTTAATAAGCAATGAATTAACGAAATTTTATTAACGGGCATGATTGATGACATTTCATACATACATGTACGTATATTATATATATGTATAAATATATATAGTAAAAGTGAATGCAAAGAATATTCAATAAAATTATCTTAAGGCAATACGATGATGATGATGACGATAAGGGTTATACATAGAAAATAAGTAGTATGAATCGTTAAAGTCGTCAACTTTCACATATAGAATAATTATCTATCAAAGTGCATTGGATTGTAACAGCGGAATGATATGATGAAATGATACGATGAATATAATAATGACACTAATAATCGTTGATTGACTGCTGCTTTCAGTGTTTGATCGAACACAAAACTAGAAGTGTTTAATTTGAATATGAAATGATCAACAAATAAATCGCACCTGAGCCGAGCAAAATGCCCATTTGGAAGTTGATTTAATAGCAAACAACCAAATTCATCAATGCAACTAAAAACGGATCGAGAGATATAATGTAATTTCTTAAATACAACATCAGTAAATGGCAAAAAAAATGAATGCATCAATGACGGATACAGAAGTGATGAATTACATACACGTACACAAATTTATGCTATCTAGCAATCAAGCTACAAATGAAGAAATAATCATTTGATTAATTAATTAATCAATTAATTATTCCATAAACGATTTTTGATAAGGCGTAAACAAAGGGCACATTCCATTGTTGGTGTTTATAACAAACAAAAAAATCATTCATGAACGAGGTAATTGCAATAGTTCTCTTGTTGTACGAGATAATGGTAGGCAGAAACTGCAACAACAACGGCAGCAGTAATCATATGTAGAATAAAATCATTAGCACCATTATCTTTATCATCATCATTATCACCATGAGCAGAAAGAAGATCATTATAAAAGAAAGGAATAGATTAATGATTCAATGACAATTTGAAGAGGATTTGCTGAACGAACAAATTTGAAGACTTGAAAGAGAAAAATACGCATTCGCGTTGAATTCAGCGCATTCACGTTGAGACGTTGAGCGCATTCGAGAATAAAACAACAAGAACTGAGTGATTCATTGAATAAGTTTCTGAAAAACAAAAAACAAAATGAAACTTCAAGAGAAAATAAACTGAAATCGCTTTGTGTTCAATGAAAAAGAACTCTTTTCTCGGGACGCTTCAAGACGAGAAATGATAATAACAATGGCTACAAAGAACAGTGAAACTGAATTTGTATTTATTTATGTTAAATTTTTTTGAAAAAAAAAGAATTTGCAGAAAATGAAACGAAACTGTCATTCACTCAAAATGTTCATCGATGAATTTCCAAGTGATAGTAACTGAGATATAAAAGATATATTGCTAAAGAAGTCAACAACGACGGGTACATTTGTATGTGTATGTATACAGCAATAATAATGACATCAACAATAATAAAAATAAACGAAATGATGACGGTAATAAAAACAATAATGAAAGGCAGGTAGGCACATAATCGAATGTATCGAATGAAATGTCTGTCTGAAAAGTGAAAAAACGCACTCATGGAAATGGAAGTGAGAAAAAACAAGTAAGGCACAACACTTACAACAAAGTGAGAGGAACGAATGATGATAATGCAGGCATGAATTAACTGTACATCCAATGCGCTTATATACTCAATATGAGTGAAAATGAAACTTAAAGAAAAATAAAAATTATTCAACATTAACGAAAACAAATTATGAGCTCACAATTGAATAATAAAAGCAACAATAACAATAATGATAATAATATTAGTAATGATAATAATAATAATGTAATAATAATAAAATAATTTCTCAAATAATAAATTGGAAATGAGGCAAATACTGATGATGAGTGAAATAGGCTGAGAATACATATTTTAGATGAATGAAGCGAATTGAGGCAGATGATATGTGATGATATGTACGTAATAGGCAATCCAATTCAATAATCTACCAACAACAACAATAATGACAAAACAATAAAGTATGTTTCTTATATTGCATATAACGAATTTGCATTATTATTGTTATTGCTCCATTCAACAACTATGATCCGAACTGATCACATGCGTTGTGAACATATATTTGTCGCCACATGGATGCCCACAAAGGTTGCACTTCCATGGGTCAGAATCAGAGTGTAACCCTTTATGAAGCAAATACAATGTTTGATCCAGAAATATCATTCCACAATGCATGCATTCCTGAAATATTACCTGTCAATCACTAGAAAATTTGATTTTATGAATAGCTAAAAGATGATCGCAGAACGAAGATTGCTCAAGGAGAAAAGATATTTGTATACCTGTTGTTCTTTATCGCCAATCTCACCATCCACTGCACTACTACTGCTATCGACCGATGGTGAATGAGACTGCTCTTCTGTATTATCACTACTACTTGCACTGTTCCCTTCACGAGTCCACAGTTGCATTGCAGCTTCAGCTTTTGCATCCTGAATGAACAACGAATGAGTAATACAAACATAATAAATGAGATACCAAAATGAAATTTTTGATGAGCTAATTCAATGAAACTCACACTGAACATTGACGGTAGTGTGGCAGCATTCGATAACGACATTAACAGTTCTTCATTAGTAACCGTATAGGGATTCTGAAATGTTTTGATTGTTTCATCGATACACCGAATATTCATTCAACGTTTACAATTTGAAGTTGAACGCGTGAATGAGTTTTCAGTGCATAACTACACTAGCGTTAGTAAAACCGAAGAAATGGTATTCATCAATGAATGTTTCACAAAAATTGAACTTCGCAAAATTTCTTCCCAAAAGAGCTTTTCTCCTTCTCCTCCTCCTCCTCTTCACTGAAACAAAATCCGATAATAAGGAAGAAAGAAATGGATGGATAAAAGAATCAACGAATTAAACAGTAATAAATAACAACTAACTTGTTCATAATCTTGACAATAGGCTAACTTCTTTTCGAGTGCATTCAAACTGTAGTCTTGTTGTTGGATAAGTTTCAGTTGATGGCGTATTGCAGCTGATATATTCTGCGATATTGATAGGCTGCTAGTGTCGATAGCTGTTGGTGGATTCATAAGAGGATTACCATTCTTGTTATTATCACTGTTCTCATTACTCTTATTTTCATTCGCATTAGTGCTACTAGTGCTACTAGTGCTACTACTACTACTACTACTACTACAACTACTATTAATGGTTTGTGTTGGTAGTGATGATGAAGCAAAAGTTGATGAGCGTCGTTTCTTAGCGACTGGAGGTGCATTTGCAACAGAACTAGCAGTAGGCATTGATCCAGTACTGCTGGTTGAGTCAGAAGCAGTTCTGAATAAGGAGGATGATGACAACGACGTGTTAGTGCCGAGCACTTCGCCAGATGGCATCACAACAATACCAGAGGTCTGAAATGTGACATCTCAATTCACGTGCCTTGACAATAAATAAAAGGCAAGAACACAGCTCATAAACAACCACTCACATCGCCCTCATCATGCTTCGTTTGGTAATGTAGTAAAAGGCGTCGAGAGTTCGAGAACAGCAGTGAGCAGCGTTTACATGAGGCTGGTGACGATGGTGATATCGTATGCATTTCGTCTAAATGATTGCGAAGACCCGAATGCTGACTGAATTGTTGATCACACATTGAGACTGGGCAATCGAAATCAGCACCCGTTTTTATGTGCGTCATTGAATGCTCTTGCATCTGAAACAAAGTGTGGTATTCAATCATTTAGATCGGCATGAATGAGCCATTTAAGTTTGAGAAGAGTCGCGGGGATAAGGCTAACCTGATCTTTACGAAAGAACTTCTTTAAGCAATATCTGCATTGGTAGGGTTTAACACCCGAATGTCGCATACGATGCCGATGCATATTTGCTTTCTGGCTGAATTGCATGTGACATATATCACACTGATACATTTGTCCTTGATGACGTTCGTGCGCTTCCTTAATTGATTCCATCATTAATATGCTATTGTTGTCACTATTATGTTTACGATAAAAGAAATAAGTTATGAAACAAGCAACAAAGAACAAAAAAGTGAAGTAAAATAAAATACCAAATGACTTTTCATATGTTGCGACATAAACGTTGTGAAATTACAGTGCGGGCATGAATGCACTGTTTTATTACTATTACTGCCATTATGATTGTTTGTTGTTAAAGCGGTTGCAGTTGCAGAGGTTGAATTGGTGATTCGTTTCGAAGTGGCAGTTGTAGTCGGATTACTGACAGCTGATAAAGGTGATAACGAACGTGATAAGACACCGTAGGTGATCAGTGGAGACTGTTCGGGTGATGAGATAGTTGTCGCCGATTCATCAGCTACATCCTCACAAGACCATTCCTGTTCGATAAGCATCATTTTCATTTCAAATGTTTAAAAGCAATTATTTATTCATTTCAAACATCTCTATTTGAACAATTCATCAATTCTTGTGTACAGTCACCTTATCATGTCAGATTAGAGTCAAATTATCATCATTTCCACTCGTCATTCCAACTTTACAAATTCCACTAATTTATTCTCATCACACCAATCAACTTACAACTTATATAGCGTTTGTTCCACACCAAGTTCATCTTTCTATGTTCCCAAACTTCAAACAGATGAGCAATATTCACAGTATCGTATCATATACAAATACATATCTCAATCTCAGCCCTTTTCGTTCTAATTAAACATATGGTATCACGCGTAAGTTCACACATTCCTATTAGTTTCCTACTGACTGTTATTATTATTATTTATTACTCCTCTCACTATCGCAAAATAAAAGATATCAACGAATGAATAAACTTTATGCATAGAAAAAGGAAATACATCGCGCAATGAATCTTAATGAATTTGAATACCATTTTTTGCATCTAATTATACACATTTAATAGAACTAAATTATTGCCGAACAGTTCCCATTGAAAAAAGAAGAGTTCGCTTTGCACAGCAAATGTGTGCATTTCAAACAAAAACAACGTAATGAAGTGAATAATTCAATTGCTCATTTCTCGCTTCATAATTCTTCGTCGAACGTTTATCGCTTGCTGTGATGAACAATCAATCGACGCGCTATGTGCAAGTGTCCACAGAAATCAGCTCAATTGGAGATGTATTTTGGGGTTTTCAGTACCAATCAGCGATTCATCCACGAAACTTTTTTAGTTCAGATACTGAACAAGTATCGACATGGCTTCTTCCGAATCATCTCCCTGTCAACACTCTGCTTTTTCGTCGACATTTTCTCACATTCTCCCTATATAGTGTTGGATTTTCGTCACTTTTAGGCTAGCCCAATGGAAACACTAGTGGATCATATAAAGTTCAAATAGAATTACTAACAATAATGGCAATAATAATATTAATAATACTATTCATAATAACAACAACAATAATAGTAATATATGTTTCGCAAGATGTCTCTGATTTGTTTAAATTCAGCTCAATGAGTGATCGGTTGTTGGTCACTTTGGGTATCGTGCAAACAAACCGTTGCCGTACAATTCACACTCCAAACAAACATAGCTCTAGCTTGAGTTGACTCAGCATTGCGCATCATAATAACTAATAATTACTATGGCAAGCACCTAGTATATGCAACTATGCTAGTAAATATGCAAACAATAAATGAACAACACTCCACATGATGATCTCGAGTTCACTGCTACATTTAGCATGCGATTGCTGTTTTGCTCTGGCAACGAATAATGAATGCGAATGCACTTAAGACTATGATCACACTTCAAAAAACTACCTGCTGATTGCTGGTTTGATGATCGCTTCGAATAATGCTGTCATCTTGTTGAAGCTGCTGTTGTTGCTGTTGTTGTTGTTGTTGTTGAAGAAGACAGAGCTGCTCGCTTTCGTGCTGTTCGATATGCTCAGTAAATTCGGCAAAATTGTTCGTCGTATAGCCACATTCTGCACATGCATTCATATCTTCAACGGCCATTTTTGCGTTTCTTTTAAATTGCTCGCAGATGAATGTATATATCGAAGAATTGATTAAGTGATTTATGAAATGTCTGCTTGATTAACACTTATAGCACCAATTATCAATCAGCAACTCCTTTTTTTGAATCTCTCGTCTCTCTGCCCCTTTTGCGCTAGAGAATTTTATTCACCTCAAATTTTTTCTTTCCGTGGCAGCGGCAGCAGCAACAATAACAATAGCACAGTTTTGCCTAAACTTTTAGCTGAATCCTCCTCATCAACTGACTAGTTGATCAGCTTCAGTTTACAAATAAATGAATGAATGTACTGATCGGACGGAAAGGGAAAAATCGATGTTCGTAATGAGATCAATCAGTTGCTGATGATCATTCGTTTGAGTATTGTACTGCCGTTGTTCTGGTTGTCTTCAGTGACAAGAGTATAAGATTATATTTTTATGTATTAATATAACAGTGCTCCGCAAATCATCAGATTTATTTACTCGTGTGTATGTATATCAATTCCTCGTTTTGCCACTTTTCTCATTTACGTATTCGATTGATCGTTACTGCTGTGCTTGCTCTACGAGAACAACGCATAAATGAAATGAATAAAGTTTAGCTGTTGGATGAAGTAATGGAGGATTTCACTCTTCAACCTGAAAGGATTCAGAGCATTTGAAAATAACCGTGCAATGAAACGTAAATGCCGTAGACGAGCACATAAACAAGGATGATCACGATAACATATTCATAAATCATAAGTTTATAACAAATATGAATACTTCATTATACGATGGGTTTTGCAGTCAAATTATTTAAAAAAACAACGACGATTTAAGGATAAAAACATAAACAATCAAATTCAATAGTACTTCTTCACAAACAGTAGTTCATTTGATCACTACTTGATCTTGCTGAACAGAAACGATGGATATTAGCATAAGAATAGGCACCAATAAAATTAGAATAATTAGTATAAAATGTGGTGGCAGGAAATGAAAGGTGGAGAATGGAATGGAATACGAATAGTAATATCGAAAAGAGTTGGGTTAAGGTAGTAGTAATACAAAGGAAGGAAATGGAAAGGAAGGGACGACGGAATGAATGAAATGGAATGGGTTGGTGTTGCTCTAAGGAGACGGATGAAATGACCTTGATTCCTTGTTGTTGTCATTTACTTTACTGGACGATTTATTTACGAGTCGAGATGCAATGCTACGATGAGCACAATCACTTTATACGACGACGAATAACTTTGATGAGACAAGATGAGACGCGAGAAGACAGGACGAGACGAGGCAATCAACGAAAACAAACCACTTTCAAGACTATCATTCGTTGGTCAATCATATCTGCCTTTAGGAAGTAGGCAGGTAGGTCGGATACCTACAGGTGGGTGGCTTGCTTGCTTCTTTCCTAGATAACTTGTCCTTGCTTCCTTTTACTAACCGTCTCCTAACTTATAATAAGCCTGCATCTTTTTTCTGAACCTTTTGTGTTCACGTATGTTGCAGAGGACGGAGCGATTGGCATGGCATAAAATAACAACAGGACGGGTGAATGATTTGGTTTGCTGATCGTAGCGCCGCTTATTGTAGCTCTGTTCTATCCATCCCATTCTCGTTCCCTCCTCGTTTTGTTTATTTTTTACGCTATGCTTTCTTCTTCCCCCCATCCCTTTTCTTTCTCCTTCCTTGATCCTTCCTGCCCCTTTCCCTGTTTATCCATTTCTTGGGTAATGATAATGATATTATGGAATGGATGATGATTTGTGACGATAATTTTGCTAGGATAAAGGATAAAATTAACGAACGAATGGAAGGATAAGAAGAGGTAAACATGTACATAAATATACACCATACCATACATATAATATATACATCGCTATAATCCACATCAAATACGTAGCAACAGCAATAACACAACATTTTACCACTGATCTGCTGCATACCATTCATCTATCCATCTATACCGCATATATCTAGCAATCTTATCCGTTATCCTTGCCATATCCTATCTATTATATATCACATCCTCCATTTATACGAACTCTTTGTGCGAATGGATCTACGCATATGGTTGAATGAATGATCCAAAGGATCTAGCTGCGTAGATTCAAACATAGATAACTATCCGAATGACTTGAATGCAAAATCATGTACATACGCCACATCTACCAACACAGATATACACCAAACAGATCGAGAATGGTGATGGGTGCGAGGGATGAAGGTGGATTTAATATTGGTTTTATCCATTCGTTAATACAAAAATACAGAGGTACATCGATGGATGGATGGTTGGTTGGTTGCTTCTTTCGGGTACATCCCAAAGTTATCGTTCAAGATTTACTCACACAATACTACCGTTAGCATAACTGTTTGCAAAGGACGCCTATCGGTCTGTATATA